TGTGAGGGTTGGAACCCATGATGGAGGCTCGGGCCATGCCCTCGCTAAGCACTGACCAAAGTCCCCGCTTAGCACTGGCCATTACCCCACCGCCAAACAGGTTTCCACCATTCCACACTTTCTTGTTTTGTTCTTCTGACATCATGTATTCGTCATTCAAGTTTCTTGCAAGTTTCTTGGAATATTCAGGAAGCTCTTCCTCTCTCTATATATAGAGGAAGAGCTCGCATGTATGTAGTCTTCACGCACTTCTTAATTCAATATTCGAAACCACACCTTTGAGCTGTTCAAGGTCTGGCCTCTCACAGTATACCATATTTCGCAACAATATTATGTACTAATCGGAACCAATCTCGGATAATCGTAGGATCCTCGCATTTTGCGCGCTTATAGTCGTATTTACGAGTGTATTTCGTCCGTAAAGAGTCGTGGCGCTTTATAAAGTTGTCAACCCAGCATTTTCCGACAATAATTCGACCTACTCCAGTTCGCTTTTCCAGTAGTAAATCGGTCATTTGGCGTATCGAATCTTTCCGTACTGGCAGACCTTTAGCTTCCATTGATAACATCCATTGTATAAGTGCTGATTCCTCGAGGTCGGTGAGTTTCTGGTTTCGGGGTCGGAAATCGCGTTGTGGAATAGCTCCCTTGACGCGGTCGTAAGTAGTAGAATATGGCGCATCGTACCTTGTACAAGCTGCTTTTAAGCTTGTAAATTGACCCTTATTGTATGCACTGATTGCAAGAGCAAATTGACCTTCTTTTCGAGACATTTGAACAATAATTGGGTAAGTTATGTAGATTGAAAGTGTGTAGGGTGGTCAATGGTGGGGTAAAAAATCCGGACTCCTTATAAATCCGGACTCCTTATGAAGTACGTTACTGTTGCTTTCGATTGTTGATTTACTTTTAGGTTTTCTCGCTCCGGTCGTTGTATCCGTCAAATCTCTAGAATAGCATTCACTTCTTCATTTTGAGAAAGCCGCTAGCAACCAGTTGTCGGCACTCTTCTTGGGTCTGTTTATATAGTTCCGGATCGAGGGGGGTAGCGCGAGGTCGAGTACTACCTCCCGGCAGACACTTGGACTCCTCCGCAAGATCCTCCAGCCGCTGGTAGTTACCATACCAGCATTTCCGTATAATGTTGTCCAAAGCATCAGTGCCTAATAACGGAAAAAGCATTAGCTGGAGAAGTCTCCCTTTAGCCTCGCCAACCTGCGGTCCGAATATCGCATCGTCGTATGGTTCGTGGCCACGCGTCATCAAGTATAGCAGTGACCCAATAGTAAATGATTCGTATCTCGCGCCATTTTCCCCAAAGCTCCCACGTCCATCGCCTGCTTCAGAACCTAGGCAACGAGCCCACGGCGGCGCACAGCCAGAGGCTCTCGTTCCAATTTTCTCCACGTTATCAAAATCCGTGAGCCTAAGGTGATCGTCGCTGTCAAAAATAATGTTCTCTGGCCGAATATCGGTATGGGCATATCCAAGAGATTCGAACCATGCCACGGCACTCGAGAGTTCCATAATCCATTGTTCGACAAGCTCTGTCGGCTCTTTAGCTACGATCTTTACCAGTCTACCTGATGGTCTGTCTGGCTCGCGGAGTTGATGTTGTTGCAGGCGGGCAAACAAATTTCCCCGCTGCATAAAGCTAAAAAATTGGCGTTTGGGAGTCGTAGAAAGCTCCGAGAGATATTGGGACATATTGAAGGTTGTGCCTCGAGAAAATCGTAGGTTTCAATCTCAGATGCGAACTTTTTGGACCTATACTCATCGTGGGTGTCTCCGCTACGAAGAGTCTTTAAGGCAATACGATCGTTGACCCTGGACACATATCCAATTGCTCCTAGGGATATGAAGATACCAGGAACCTTGAGAACAGTATGTTTCGTCATAGTTTCGGCAACAGATGTAACGGATCGCAATAAATGTACGAAGAGGATCCCAGAAAGACAGTGTCATGGGAGAATTCGGTTGTTGATTCATAAATCATATGTTGAAGAACAATATCAAGACACCAGCGGCTGCACAGCTTAGGCCTCTTCCCATTTGTCATCTACTAAGACCCATGTCCCATTGGCTTGTCAATCATCTCAGGGTACTCTTAGCGTAGTGGCCCACAGATGAGACGTGCTTTCGACACTTCCACAACCCCCACAATCTTTCCACGGTACCACTGTGCTATTCTCATCAATAACATGACTACAAAGTCCCTTAGTCGTGGTGATCAATTCCTGACACATAGCAGCTGAGAGTAATGCTAAAAATATATCATTAGTGTTCTTCTCACCAAAAATGAGTTAAATGACTTACGCGGCCGACTTTTCGAAGCGTGCTGCAGATATACTAGATATGCTGCTGAGAAATTTGGATTTGTTTGAAAGCCTGGCGTTTGTGGTTAGGTTAGTAACGCTTAAAATTATCCTTGTAGACCTACTTTCCATTTGTTCAATTGGTTCAAGAAAACAAAGAAGACTTGCGGATGTGAGTCTGATATATCATGATCTTTCTAAGTAGCCGACTACCGTGACTCTAAGAGTATGATATAGCCTCTAATTAATTACTGTAGTCATATGGCCATATCTCTAATCACAAAGGGCGATTGGAGGAGAGTACACTCCATCCATCCTCCAAGCAAAATGACATGTCGCCTTCATGTAGACAAGAAGACTGAGACTCTATCGCGGATATGTTGGAATTGAATCCCGGTTTCTACACTTGACGAGACTTGGATGTGGGCAGCAAATGTTTCAATCCAGTTCACTACCCTTGTGCAAGGTCGTGCAACGTAACATAACACAAATATTTTATGGCAGCCAATGTACGTAGAAAGGTAGAGAATAAGATGCGGGGTCACATCGTGCTTTCCGGATGAATGGCGGCTATAAGTAGCTTGCCAATGATTGAGCTAGAAAGGTGCCTTTTACAATTTATAGATAACTTAGCTCTTCGCTAACGAATCAATCTAGGGCTGTATAGTCTACACAAATTTCAAATATCTTAGTAAGCATGCTCGAAGAAAGCGAAAGAGACATATACCGGAGACTAAGATAATTCAGGCGCAGCACAAGCTCGATTGCCACCTCTATCAAATTCAGAGGACATATCTACCACAGTCCTTCCACAACCCTAGCAACTATAGAATGTGTTCGAAGAAGAAGCTAGTGATTTCTAACCTATATATCCGTCGGTTTCGTGCCGGACTATTAGATAGATGACTAGAACAGTACGAGATGGCTCGGTGATGTCCAGTATCATCGCCTTCTCAAATTCATGGCCATGACCTTTGGACGCGGTGTTCTTCTTTACCTCAATCTTGATGGTGAACGCTTGTGTAACTTGAACTCTTAATGTCATGTGACAGCGCGCTAAATTGGCGTGCCTGCCGTTTTGTGGAAAGCGATTGAGGTCAAGACTGACTTCCAATTTCCACAACTCTACGACGGTATAATCCCACCCTTAATATATTACCTTTCCCCTCGCCCTCCCCCCTCCCACGCACTTCAGTGTCTTGTCACAACCCATTAAAGGTTTGCGCATTAAATGATCTGCCTGCATTGAATCGCTTTCCGATACCAAACGCTCGACTACCTTGGTGGCCAGCCTGTACGGGCGCAATCAAGATATTCCCTTAAGTCAGAAGCGTCAACCTCATCTCCCTTGATAGACAAATGCTAACACCACCGCAAATACAGTTTCTGTTCCTCCCAACCCCTCTGCCACGATGGATTTTGAAGCCGTCCATTCCAAATATGTCCAAGGACGCGTGTACTGGCTAGTCATCCACCTCCAGAAAGTCGCTCCACCATTCGCCACCAGTCCCACGATGATACAACGTGTCCAACCCGACGACAATGTTGGTCTCATTGTCGACCTTCATACGCCTGGTATAAATGTTACAATGGCAACTGGAAAGGCTATAACCGTTACCGTGCAGAATCTAAGTTTCAAGCTAGATTGTACGCGGGGGGTTAAGCTGGTAGAGGATCCGGCAATGCGATTCCAGCTCCAGGTGGACGTAAAGAAGCTGAAGGAGCATGAGTTCACAGTTCAGGTCACAGTTGGGACGGATGAGGTATGCAATACATGGCCTAGCGCACCTCCTTGATCGATGCTGCTAATGGAGGGTTAGAATGATACACCAGCCGTGCGTGAAGTCATGGACTTGATTTGCAAGGGATTCGACGCTATTGAGAATCGTTATCCTGAGGACGAAAGAGAGTGTCTTGACAGCCACGAAGAACTCAAGATGCTTGCCCTGTTCCCGGCCTTGTTTGATCGTTATTCAGTAGCGTGTAAAGCAAAGACTCAGCAAGAAGAAGTAGATACCTGATGCCGTCGTATCCAAGAAAACGACCAGAAACGAAACATTGCTTTCAACGGCTGGACTATTCCGCTCCCTCTCTCCGAAGGTTGTTGTGAAATAGTCAAGTCAGGAATTCTGAAGGGTGAGATTGAGATGGAGGAGAAAGGAACCCTAACTCAAATTGGTGAGATGAGGCTGAGGAGGCGCCAGGCTCGAGAACAAATGAGAGAAAGCGTATTAGAGGGTTAAGCATGGATTTGGAAGGAGACGGGAGCGACATTGACTTTCAAGTTGCCATCGACACTGTAGCTTGCAACTTGACAATAGATAGAAACCGGTTAGTGCTCCTGATATTTGATCCTTTGTGGTCTTGCTGACGTTCTTTTTCCCAGATAGGAATGGAAGAGGTGATGAAATTAGATAATACGTGGATGGGTGGATGATATGTTCATTGTTGGCTAGAAAATGGTGTAAGTCTTTATCTTTTTCGAGTACTAATACAACTGTGATATTGATTCTAAAGCAGGCTACACTCATAGGAACAGCTGTATTCTTCATCAGCTCTCAAATGTTTTACAACTATGTTCCCTTGAACTCTTATAACACGACCTCGGCAACAAGAGTTTCGTTTCTCTTCGGTTTCTTTTACGTGACAAGTACAGCTTTTCACTTCGGCTTTTTCTTTCGGAGATTTCGTTTTCAAGTTCAACAATAATAGCAAGAGGCTTAAGAATATTCAGACGTTTTCTCGGTACATGTGTTTCTAGTCAATTTCGACGGTTTACTGGATTTTCATGGACTGGTTGGTTCAGGCCTTGAGAGCTTTAATGTGAAGATGATCTTGTTTCATCGACTTGCAATTTTCTTGATATTCTTCCACGACTAGGTAATGACTAGCACTCTCCTCTTTTTACACCACTATGTCAACATTTTCTGCAAAATTCACGCGCAAATCACAATTCTTATTGACTTTCGCAACCTACTTGACGACCTGGGCCCAGTAAGAGGAATCAGACTCTTAGAGTTGTGGGGGAACGGGAATTGGAAACTGGGAGGGAATTTTTCTCTGTTGGTTTGGGTCAGGTTTATTATTCGAGAGAAGGGGAAGTGAGGAGGAGTTTGGAAGTGGCAAGATGGGGCTGGAGTAAAAAAGGGGGAATTGAGCGTTTAAAGGAGAATTCAGAACTCAGAATAGAAAAAGAGTATTCTAGTGTTTCTCTCTTCTCTCTAAATTCACAACCTTTCTCCCCCTCCTGAGTCAATCATTCTCAATCACCCACTTCGGACCCCAACATCGTCCATCAAACAAGCTCGTTGTGTCTCTCCTAATATGTTTCAAACAAATCTAAATTCTTTCTTTCGAGAATTGAATCAGTCAGAAAAAGCCGAAAGTGCCCGAACAACAAATTTTCTACAATCTTCGAACCCCTCTCTCAATTGAGTAATCGAAGACAGTATAATGAGCGAGGAGACCAAACAATCCATGGTGGAGACACAGGTTATGGACAGTATAACATAGTTAACTGGCATCAGCGACTCGGCCGCTGTCAAAAAACAGCTTCTGGGCGACGCGAACTTGTCGACATGGGAAAGCTTAGGAGTAGGGCTGTAAAGCTGATGTCAGTGGCCATTTTCGTCTTTCGTCTTCCCACGCAAAACAAAACCCCTCCTGCCGGGTCGGCCAGGAACGTGGTTTGTGAAACGCGATGTGTGGAAACCACATATCGTTTTGCCCCAATGAATGAGATTTGCGAGCGGCATTGTAACATTACGTACCGGGAACGACGAACGAAAAGTGACACAATTAGGCCTTTATCGAGCACGACCGGCAAGTCTTGAGCTTGCAGTATTTGCACTCGTAGATGTGGTTGAATGGACCGGTATGACACATTTGGCAAATCCATTGCATTATGGTGGTATTCGACTTGAGCATGATGAAGAAGTGACTGCAATATCCTGGAACGGCCATGGAGAGGGAACCACTTTGAAGAGTTCACTAGGTATAGCGGAACGCGGTGTTGAGGAGAGTCTTCGTAGGTGGAACTTGGAGGGGGTTAGTATTAGTGAAAGAAGGAGAGACGCGATTCAGTACATACCCCGAGACTCGTCAATAGCAGAGCGCTTAGAGCAGTGTGTTTCTTAATCTTTCTGGTTTCTTATACCTATTGCTCTATCGTAGAGTCCCGCTGAGCGTTGTTCGGCCTTCAACGTCTTCTTATCAAGATAAAGTTGCACAGATATATAGTAGATAATTGCCCTGAACTAGAAAGCAATGAAAATTGAAAAGAATAGGAGTACGAGGTCAGTTTCTGAAAGCCAAGTGTGTAGGATGGACATGCTTATATATAGACTGAGACCGTAGACTATTGAATCCAGGGACAAACACTTGAAACTTCCTTAGGACAAGAAATCCTATGCCCGTATTTATTCACTAAGTACGAACTCGGCTAACTTGTACAAAACGAGGCAATGGGTGAAGATGCTACTTTTTGCTCTACTTACTCGCTTAATTAAACTTACTCACATGACACTACTTTACGGACTTAACTACTACCTCCGGTGTACTTACCTCGTTACTAGATGTAAATTGGGACAAAACTTAACGAAGTATTCATCTCTCAAGACTACCCACTTCGTTTACTAGCAGATTTTACTTGATGAATTTTATTTAATCAACAGTAGGCAAGGCTACACAGTTTGGGTTAAATGAATCCTTAAGTATACTGCTAGGTACTATTGAGGAAAAGCAGATGGAGAGGAACAAGAGTAATCTCCATGTCGCTGCATTAACAGACGTAAAGGGGATGGCTTTAGTAGTTATTTCATCAGATGAATCGGATGGTTTAGATTAAGGGGTGATTTATTTCAAATAAATAACTTATTTGATTAGGTGTAGAATAATAAGTACTCTAATTTCTCGAGATAAAAGTCCCCTGCTCACGCCTTCATCCTGCACCTTAAATGATTATCTTAATGTACTTCTGATTGTATTTTGTCTCTATCCTTCTATCATCGACTAATATAACAAATTCTAATAGTATATCAACAATTACAGAGAAACATATCAAGACCTCATCTATCCTAAAGCTTTATTATAAATCTATAAAACAATATCTCTGCTGCTACTTTATTGTCGGCTAGTGTGAGTTCCACCCTGCGGATATATAACATGGAGGGTACAGCACGTGTATCTACAATGAAGATCACAAGTCCCTTGGCAAAATGTATTGTCCATGTCGTTTACTGTGTCACACTAAAATAATTGTTAAAAGGGCTTAGGGAAAGGTTACAGAGGTGAAACTTACTTTACAACATGTCCACCAAAAGCACCGTATAAAGAAAGTGTTACCAAAACCAGACCCTCGGAGCTCGAGGTTGATATTCTATCTCGTTAGAATACTATGTTTTTAAATTTAGATCTAGAATACTTGCCGACATCTTGTCTAAATAACTCTTTTTCGTACAGTGAAGGTGCTAGGTAAGCGTACAATTTTACTGGTTCCTAATTCCTTAGGTTGATAGAGCTATAGAATGGGAGGAGAGTAAATGAGAAGGATATCAAACAGACGTTGAGAAAAGGGAGACCTTAGGCTGAATATAATATACTAAAAGCTGAAACTTCCCAACAAAGTTGCTAAGAACAAGGTTATTTTAGGGGGCATAGTCAGAGTCTAGCAAGGTACGTGATTTTAGTTTAAATTGGATTGAGGGATCCCAGAATCTTTCGATCGTTTTGAACGACAGACTCTAGTGGACTAATATCTATGTAACGAAACTCAAACTATCTGACTAAGGGAGCTGGCCTAGAAGGTTGGTCTGCGGTAAGAAGTAGATATACGCCGGGTGTTTACTTGGGAAGCGAGCTCGTTACTGGTACTAAAGATGTCAAACAAGATGATATAATTGATAAAGTAAATTGAGTACTAAGCTGCTATCTAATAGCAGAAATGCTAGTCTTATATAGAACCTTCATACTCCCAAGTCGCTAAGTCGCTCGTCGCGCTGTCTGGACTTATCAGGTGATAGATAACCAAAAAAAAACCCTGGATCGCTTAGCTAGACTGTACAATCCCTATTTGCTCTAACCATCCTAATAGTGCTCGTCCAGTCAGAACGCCGCCTGGACCTCACTCACCACGTATGCACGTAATGAGTAGCAATCTACTTCAAAGCAAATCAACCTCCCCAGACCTCCCATCATGCACCATAAGTTCTTGAAGTATTTCAACAATGTCGACACCATATCTCTCCTCAAGACTCCTTCTAAATCTGTTCTTCCTTTCTGCTTCAGCATAAAGACCCTCAGTCCACCCCTGCCCCGCCGAAAATGCATTACTCCAACACCCAAGCCAACTAATAATGTCACCTTCTTCCTTAATTCTAACTTTCCACGTTTCTTTCGCCACCTCACCATGGTATTTGGTCTCCAAGATAAATATTTCTCGCCGATCTTTTTTGAACAGATACCATGCTTTTACCTCCATCACAGTGTCATCTCTTATGATAGGTAACAACACGTTAGCAGGTTTATCTGTCTCTTGGTTTACTTCTTGTTTATCGGAAGTTCTGGAGAGGATATCGTGGAGAGACGTATAGGCATACTCTGCCGTGAAATATTTACTTGCATCGATATAGAGAGATTTTAAACCCTCTACCTGTGGTATCATCGCTGCGTCAGAGACAAAGAATGGGGTGATGTTAAAGATATAGTCGAAATCAATAATCAGATTCTCCGTCGCGGTCTCGTGGAACGCATTCAAGGCTAGGGCAAGATCTGACAAGTACTGATGAACTAGTTGATTGATACCGTCGTTTGCGGGAAGGCTATTTGGGTAGGTGTCGCAATAGTTCTCCCAGTTTTCCTCGCCGAGAATTGGAAAATGTGGGTAAAGGAAATCCTTCGTCGGGTTGAATAGAAATCCCATTCCAGCAAGAGTGATATTCTTATATGATTCGAGAGTCACTTCCTTAGACTCCGGGGTATCCGTGTATGAAGATGGGAGTGGGTTGTCGATTCTCCTTCCATTCTCTTGCCCGTCTCGGAAATAGAAGAAAAGGTGAACTATTTGTGGGCCAAGTTCCTCAAGTTCGAGCCGCCCCTCATATTTTGGTGGGGTAAGGCTTCAACAGTCATGTGATTATGGGCAGCATTTGCTACTTCCGCTATTATCCAGCCACTGAGACGCCGGCGGAAGCGACGACTCAGCACCTTTACTATTAAGCTTTTCATGTTCTTAAAATAATTAGGTCATCTTTAGTGGAACTTTTGAGTCTTTCAGAGCTGCTGTGGCGTAAATTCAAGGAAGGATTGATTGATTCATTCATTCATTCATACACGCTTCCAGCCCCGCGTTTGGATAGCTATGCCGGAATGGCCCAGCTTTGGCACCAGTTGCCGAACTGCGTCTACCTCAGGAGACGCACCACCCTTCATCACACTCGTGTGACCAGCAACCTCCTCCACTGAGCTGTCTGGCTTCTATCTACGCATATATACATATCCGTTGACAGAAGTGCTTTGTTTGTGACTTTAGTATAAGGCTCTGACTCGGCGACCAACTGTCCTCCAGGTCCACAGAATTCACGTGATAGGAGGATTGGCACAACAGGAGGATGCTTTTTGACCTTTTGCTTTTCCTTATTTCGATCCGTGATAAAGTACGTTCTGAGCGCGCTTAAGCTTTCGAATTCATCAGTTGCTAAGTACAAATATATCTTAAAACGCCCGGTCTCTCCACCAAGGATGGTCCACTGTCAAGGGAGCCAACATTTCATATTCTGCTTCTGGTGTGTCTCTCTCTTGTCCAATTCCAACCAAGTCTCTTACTAATTGCCAGCCTCGATCCCGAGACTCTTCCCGCTTGATAGGATCTATATCTTCTTCGGCAAAAATCCCAAAAGCAACATAAAGCCGTGCCAAATCCTCTAAGGCTACTATGGTATCAGCGTCCAGGTGTTGCGAAAACTCCTCCTTGAGTATTGTAAACCACCTGTCTGGTCGTTGCGCCGCGCGTCGGAATATTTCAAGAGCCCCCCAAAACTTAGGAACGTAGACACAGCTTTCGAAATCTATTAGGGCAGAAACAACTCTCTCCTTAATAATGATGTTCGCTAGATAAAGATCAAGGTGTGTGACCACAATAGTCTGGTCGCAGAAACAGAGTCTTTCCTCAATGAAAGATAAGACTTTTGGATTCTTTGAGTAACGTGTCGTCCAGGAGACAATGAAACCTCTTGCACTCAGGGGCCTTTCGAATGGTATCCGATCAATGATTGTTCCCCGGGAAGTTATGGCAGATAACATTGTGTTTTGTAGTTTGTGTAAATCTCTGGAGTACGCAATAACCTGTCTGGCGCCATTGCGTCGTTCTTGATCTGATAATGTAGCCCAGCAGTTTTCGAGTGTTTCACCATCGATACGGTGCATTTCCAACTGCTGAAAGTCCTTCACTGCTGAAAGTCCTTCGTAGCACTGTAGCTGATTGCCCGAGGTACAGGAACACCCGTCTGTTCCCGTACAATGTCCAGTGCATGCTTCTCACTTTCAAGATCTGATATACCCTTCCTCACATATTTGAGAACTCGGGTATCGTCTGCAATTACACAGCGTCGGAGAAGTTCTGGGTAGAGTGGCCACTCGTTATCGTGAAGTTGTTGAAACCCTTGTGGAATACGAGGGCGTTGCTCTGAATATTTTGGTTGATGTTGAAGCTTTGCTTGCCGGAAAGTTCTCGCAGTAGGCGCATTTCGGAAAATCAAATGAACAGGGAGCTTATCATCCAAGGCAGGGTACGACATTTCGATGCTTTCAATGAATAGTTGTTTGAAGGTTGAATGAAGAAAATACAAAGGAGTGACCAAATTTTGAACCTTTCGGCCACCGGAACCGCTGCCCACAGGTCAATTGGCTACAGGCTCATTGCCAAACCAACGAGAACCAACGAAATCCTCACCGCTTTAATCGGTACCCCTCCAGGACCTAACAGGCCCAAAGCAGACCACAACAGATTATAGCCTCCTCAGTCAACAGACATATTTGAACAGCAAATTACTTCGCCTTCACCGCAATCCTTAGTTGGCTCCAAAATCCTGCAATGTGTAAGCCAAACTCTCGTGCAAATTAGGGCTAGACATGCGCTGCAGTGGTTGGGAGCTCTGCGTCACAGAATTCGCATTTTGTCGCTCCAGTGACGTTGTTCTTGCCACAGTTTGACTTTGGGCACTTAGCTATGGCACAACTGCTGTAACGTTAACATTGTGAATGTATGACAAGGTGACCAACGAAGAGCTTGAATGGCGTTAAAATTGTACTTTGGTGATAGTGACTATGTAGTAGTGGTGAATGTGTTGGTAATACTTAATCTTGAAAAACCCTTATACAAGGCGCAGAAGAGCATTTTATAAGCAGAACAGTAAGGTCCAATATCGGCTAGTTTTTTCTTTAAAGAATTAAGCATCTGCTGATGTGTTGCAGTAGTTTAATTAGTCACTGTACAGTACAGGAAATAGATCTGTAGATGCCTATCAGTTATTAAAACTGTTAATTCCAATCATATGAAATAAATTATCACCCATTAAAAATGAGGCTGCGTTCTAGACGTTTCGGCTAGTAAATCCGACTCCACCTAAGCCTTAGCTTTCAACTCCTAGGGATGAACGGTCGTGGGGGTAACCAATAATAGCGCGTGTAGCAACACACTCAAGAGCACCCGCCCCATGATGTGCTACTTTAAGCATTGTTATTGGATCCTTTGCAGTGCGCCCCGCGATGAAGCTTTCCTAAAGTTATCGTGCGTTCGTGCCCCATTGTGTAGGGTCTGTAGCCTCAGGCTGCATCTACCACACCTGCACGCAGAAAATAGGCGCGTTACCTTACGAGCCTGGAACCACAAGTCTGTGCGCTCAGGGTTTATAAGAGAATTTGGAGTTATGCTAAATTTTTTGCATATTTTCTGACAACTGTAGATTGTTGGAGTTCTCTTCTAGAGCAGAGTCCCCAAGTAGCCTGTAGAACACGGACCTGTGTTCCTAGGCTCGTTAGCAATGAACGTCTGGTTCGCCATGCTCTTGGTATCAAGGACATCAAGAGCTACAAGAAAATCGTCGTTGCTAGTGGCAAGAGCAGGAAGCGCATCATAAACCAAAGCCATAGTCAAGTACAAAAATATTTCATCCCCCTCAGGAATTGGCGCTCCTACAGCCAGTGTTCCTAGAGACAATTCAGGTAACTTATACTAAATTTAAACTTAGAGCCTAAACTGACCCAGTTCAGATCTTGGAGGCAGCCCTTTCTAGACTTCGGTGAAGGCGTAAAAAGAAGAAAACATACCGCACTGCTACACAATTTTGAGGATGACCTTGTTGGGTGCCAATACTAGCATTAGCTTCAGATAGTAGGATTCTATGATTTAAAAGTCGCCACCACTTTAAACAGGTCGAGTTGATCGTGAGTTTTATTGTGGTTGGATGCACTACTACGTATGCGAGCCAAGGAGAGATAATTGGTTGTCACCCCATGCATGATATTTAGATGTGAGAATACTTGCCAAGGCGCTAAAGCATATCGTCCCGCCACGTCAGCACAAAGAACACATCCCCTTCCTGGCTCAACATCATCCCCATTTTTGGGGCAGGAGGCTATTATGGAGTTCTTTGGCTGGCTTTAACTGTTTCAATATAGTTATACTGTTTTACTTTTGGAGCGGAGCTCCGAATGGCTCTCTTTGAATTCATGGAATTTGCACCTTATGTCTTCCACCTGGGAGATTTCATAGTCTTTGCCCTAATTTTCTAACTGGATATCTGGCGCCTTCCCTATTCCATTCCAATCCCCCAACTCAAATGCTATTCTTCTCAATAACATCAAAAGCAAAGCCAGACAACGCTCTCAATGAGCTGAAAACCGTCTTTGCAATCACCGTACCATCTTTCGAGGCGTTTCCTTGGCTTTGCCATTCTTGAATCGCTATCCCCGTTTTACCACGCAGCCTCTGAACTTCTTCTATCTCGCGGAGTTCCTGCTCGACTTGGCCCCTGAAAGAAAGTGTTAGCAAGGTACTCGAGGTAAACCCACGGTCCAAAATCCCACAGAGTAAACATCATCAAAAACAAAAACAAGAAATAAATGAAAGTAAGGAGCTAGAAAAAAAGCCCCAGGAAAACTCACACAAACACCGACCCAACCCCATAACTCAAAGTCGCCAATTCAGACACAACAACAAGCACAACATGCGTCCCATCAATCCAATCCACCCCCTCCAACACCCCCCTCTCCACACACCCCAGCTCCACCTCCCGCTCCTGCGAACTGAGCGAGGAAACATACTTCAACAACCTACTAATCGTAAACAACCTCGCAACTCGCACGGGATGCATCCCCTGCGGCCAGTTCACCACGTCGCAATTCAGGAAGATGAAGAGGAGTATGATGAGTGCGGCAGCTAGCCGCGACGCATCCACGTACGCGAGGTAGATCTCATCTAGGACTGTGGGGTACGGTGGTAAAGCGTAGATGTTGTGGTCGCGGAAGAGGGACATCTCGAGGTGCATTTGGGTGAGGAAGTTGAAGCGCTCCCGGGGGGATTCGTTGGTGTGTGAGAGGGTTATTAAAGGTTGGACTTTGGAGAGGTCTTCGAGGAGGGGAGCTAATTCTTCTTTTAATCTTTTGATTATGGGGATCTTTTGGTTGGCTTGGGAGAGCAAGTCGGGGTGGGAGGTTAATAATGAGATTTTCTCGTTCTGGACTGCCTCCGTGGGGGTACTGGCGAATACTTCGTACGGATTGAGGTCCTGAGTGCATTTTGGGCAGGAACAGGTGAAGAAGTATCGTTGTTTGAGTTCGGTCTGGCGGATGTCGAGGGATTGGGTGAAGTCGATGTAGGAGATGAAGATTTGTCCGTCAAGCGGGATGGGGGAGAGCGCGTGGAGGGAGATGCGGCGCCCGGAGAAGATTATGAATGCGTTGGGGGTGCAGGAGTGGTTTGCTAGTGCGAGGGTGGGTGTGTAGCAGAGGCCTATAGGCGTATCGTCGGGGAGGGTGGCACGGAAGGCGTTAGTTGAGAGCTGGGAGTGATGACGAGGTTAGTACAGTATGATTGGGGTATGAGATTTTGAGGGAGCTTGGACGGTAGGTTCTTGAGAGGTTGAGAGTTGATGAGTGGGAACTCGGATTTGGGAATGAGATGGGATGACTGCATTCTCAAATCGGACCTCTGGTCTTCATGGACTTTATAAAATTCATTTGACTGAATCTTTTGGGCCCTTCAAACTCGTAACGCAGCATGAGAGAAAAGAATGAAAAGTGAAAACCTACCACACAAAGCAACCTAGTAACCATCTCCATCTTACTCTCCTTAGTCCTCGAAAACGCAACCGCCCCCCTCGCCTGCAGAACAATCTCATCCCACCTCTTCTGATCTCTCTTAAACTCCTCCCAATGACTTTCCAACCCCTCACTCCTCTCATCCAACCCCTCTCCCCCATACCTCACCAAGTACTGAAACAACGCCCTCACCGCCGTCGGTGGTACCGCCGGCAACTTCGCCAATACCCCACATTCACGTTTATGAATGAGTTTCCAATCCTCTTTCTGGCAGGTTGGGGTGCAGTACCGCACGATCTTACATGAGGAACACCGTTTTAGGGAGGAGAGAGGGGTTTCGTGGAGGCAGTATGAACATACGCGGTCTAAGGCTTCTTTTTCTACGACGAGTAGGTAGGGCGAGGGGATTTGAACTATTAGGTCCCCTGGATCGAGAGGTTTGGATGCTGCGAGGCCGTTGCCGAGGTGGGGGGTTTGGATGGGGTGGGTGTGGTTAGTCATTTCATTTGAGGGCTGCGGGTCCTTGGTGAGATCTTTTGGGGTATTTGTAAGGGTTTGATATTTGAGGTGGAGTTATTGGGGATTGGAAATGTTGGAGTTTCGAGTCACTCACGTATGGACTCGAGTAGATGTTTTGGGACGGAGGACGTTGGCGAGTGCCGCTTTTTCTTGCTGTACAGTACTTGATCCCTCTGTTGCCGAAGTTTTTCCGTGTCAATGTTCTCGCTTCTAATCTCTTACTTCAACTTTTTATTATCTTCCTCTATTTAAGACTTTTTTTTCGCTATCTCTACATCTTTGTCTGATGCAAGCACGTTATTTTATCCTTATTGACCTGACCGTATGGAATGGTGGGACTTATTCCAATCATAAATCACCAAACAAGAGTCAAGCCGGATTAAAAATTGGAATTCAAACTCGAGGACAAGACCCCCAGAATGAAAAATGGTTGCTAAAACCAATACAAGCACAGTGTAAGAATTGCGACACAAGAGAAGTTATCCCTAAAATCACAGAGACAGACTTCCTTCTCTATTTGCGGCGTAAGTAGAAGACCTTGTAGCAAAAGTGAGAAGTAAGATCACAGATTGAACTTAACAAACGTACCCAGCTATCATACATAACAATTTATCGCCTGGTGAATACCCCCACCATCCCGTGTCAAACACCCTGCATCCCCCATAGGCTACAGCTAGGACCCACCCTTCCCCACCACACACCTACCTTTATAAATCAAGATAAACCCCCCATCAGAAAATCCACCAATTATGCACCTGTTGATGGTACCCTAGGCAACTGCAGTGGTCTAGTGGTTCGAGAAATTCCCAAAGGTTCACTGTACTAGACTTGTAAAATCATATAGTCCTTATATGCTAATTAATAATATAAAACTCAGCTCGCTCTTTAGATGGGAGTTGGATTTTTTTGGAGTTTCCCTTTTTGTAAAGGGGGTTTTTTAAGATTGTTTAGGGGAGCGCATGGTTGTTGTTTGGTGGGAGGTAAGAGGGGTGGATGGGTGTTAATTAGTGAATGGTAGATTATATACCCTATCACGTCTCTTGTACATACTGATTCTATCCCTACTTTATCTAGGTATCTGCACCACTTTACTAGCATTATCCTCTTCATCTGGTAGTGATATTTCACTTGAGCTGGCAGTATCATTTTTGTCACCCTTTGATTGTGCCTCTCGTAACGTTTTGAACACTGACAGTTTTGGCTTTTGGGAATCCGGCTTAATCTTCATTTCAGTCTTTGTCTTATATGCGACGCTATCAAGATTCTCGTCGCTAACTGTGTCGCTGCCTCCTTCAGACAACTCACAGCTGTTCGCAGCTTTCATGCGGAAGTCTAAGTTCATGTCTGGAATTTGAATTCATCGTTCTAGGATACGGCGATGGAGATGTGAAGGATGAGGATTCGCGAACTTTCCCGAGACTTTGAGTGTAGAGGGATTTTGGTGCCTTATTATATTTGGCGAAGAGCAACATATACGCTTGAGGTCACAGATGCAACCATCATCTTTTTACTCTTAAGTCGCGAAGGTTAGTGATCTGCTTGGAAAGTTTTTCTAGTATGAACTGTATGTAGTCTCGGAGATTTTAAATTCGACCCTTGAAGCTCGTCAATACAGTCTATTACGATGTAATCCGTAGTTCTCGTTGGCAGAGCAGTAATCGCTTCGCGACCAACGAGTATGGTCGTCTTTAAACGTTTCTTTACGGTCTTGCTAATGTTGATGTTGAAGTATTCTGGATGTTTGGCGGTTATAGAAGGGTGCTGTTAGAGGATGTGGATAATAAGAAATGAAAGAGTGTAGTATTTCCGGTATAAGAGTAATCGCGGACTTATTGTTAAGAACTTATATTTGGTTTAGACTAAATGCCATGGCTTAACTCCATTATCTAGCCTTCTTACTACAAAAAGTAACTTTCGCGATTTGCGATTTAATCACTAAGCCCAATTGCTAACTTAAGATGCCGTAACTGTGTAATTATGAAGCCGTAAAACTCGAACCCGAGATTAATACAATAGTTGGAAGCAGGAGATAAAGGAAATCTTGATATGAAATTCGTTCCTAACATCCTACTTGTAAACTATAATTAGTACTCTCATCGCCATTGCTCAAGCTCCTTTCCCTATGCCTTAACTTCCTCAACTATTTGCAGGAGGCGGTACAAGCCAAGGTATGTTGCCGTGTCCCTAGAGGCTTTTAGTACCTCCGTAATATCTTCATAGCATATAATTTCTTAATCACTGTTGTCGTACAATATACCACCAATTATTTTGATATATGACCTCGTTAGGCTCGACCCCACAGACTGTGAGCGAAGGAGAGATCTCTTTCCACTTATTTACTTCAGCGTCCTTTACAAACCTAGCGCCTAGGCTCTTCCAAACCCTCATCTCTCGTTCAATCTCAAAATATCTAGCCGCGGCAAACACTGTTGGATGTGGAGCATGTACAAGATGCTTGATGGTTGGATACCAGTCCGCTTCTTCATCAATTGCAAATACCGAGTGAAAGGCTGCTGTCAGATCCGGTGTCTTGTAGCCTTCGGTGTCGACATACGCGTGATATTGACCTCTCCAGGTGGTGATGGAGATTGACCGTCCCATCTTGGTACACATGGTGCAGCACTGAAGTTTGTGAATATTCCGGGTTTTTGTGCCGTCTCTAGGGCCCTCCATCACATTCAAGCCCACGAATGATAGTTGAAGGGGTTTCAACGATGGTAGAAGGTGCAACAGCTCCTCAAATGCAGGCAAGGAGCTAAATTCAGCTCCAGCTGCACCTATAATGTGAAGGTTGATCGAACTGCGAGTGCTCATATTCGGTATTATCGTCTCCAAGGCAGCGATTAACGTGAGTTGAATCGTTGTCGTATTAGTACTGCATCTCATATATTCCACGAACTCTCGCTCTTTGGAGTCGTTTGCCAGGTACCTCAGCTTTCGGTTCATTTTGGACTTAAAGCCGCCCTTGTCTGAGAGTCTCGTGTAGTATTCATACCAGTCCGTTGTGGAGGAGAGTGGAAAGTATTGTTTTCTGGGAAATTCGGTGTAAGAAATAGTCGAGCTTTTTCCCGTTCTTCGGCGGAGATCCATCATAACCCTGTCATCGGTCGCAGCATCTTGCAAGATGGCACACTCTGGTGATGGATGTGCTTGCTGGCAGGAGGAGCAGAATGCGGTGAGATGGCAAGATTTGCAGGCATTCAGCTTCACCCCATCTTCAAGTTGGGACTCCCATCTGTAGCAGTGGTAGCAATATGGCTCGTAGCTAAATGCAAGTGTAAGTTAGCTCAATAATTACTCCCATACATATATAACATGTTATGGTGCCCAGGACGAATTTCATCATTAATGGAGAGTGGATATACCCAATCAATCTTCCAAGTGCACTACAATTCAGAATATTGTCAATTGAGAACAACAGCCGCCCCTGTTGTAAAATGTCTCAGATTGTCCTCGCTCGTCTTGCTAAGGAAGCCGAATAATATACCTGCTCTTTGTAGTAGTCGTCCCAATGCCTGCCAGCTGAAGGTACATATCCCTTCTGCTTATTCAACGCAATAAGCTTCTTGCAGTCTTCCTTGTGAGTCCTATACCAGTCTTGCCTTTGGCACTCTTTTGAGCAGTATGCAACCAGTTTACAAGTACTGCACCGACTAAGATTGCCGGATACATCCCAGCAGGAAAATCAGAGCGCGTGTCTCAATGCTAAGGTTGGGGCTTGAGGCGGATCTGAGTCTGAGTCGAGGTTCAGGTCTTTGGATGCCATTTCAAAATCGACGTGGGGCAGTTGGCGGACACGTTAAAAAGGTTGTTGATAGACTTGATTGTTGAAATACACAGGCTTTTGGCTGAACATCTGAATTTCGGTGCTCCTCCAAAAGAGGAGGGGAGGGCTATATATATAGACGTTGAAGGCCAAGAAGACTCTTCCGAGTTACACCAATCAAATTGTGCCATTCACTGATTGATTGATTAATACTCGGATCCAGCCGCCCGTTGTAGGACGGCTATGCCGTATTGGCTCAGTTTGGGCGCAGTTGCCAACGTGTGTCTTACCGCATTCTGCAAGTACACTTCATTTCATGGGGTATTTTGCGTGACGAGGGTGACTAAGCGAGCAGCATATCGTTTAGATCACTGAGAGCATTTATTACTTCTGTAACAATAATAAACCTACAACCAGTAGGATTTCTGTAATTACTGAGCGCTTACGGATGCTGTTTTGAGTTGTTCCATCATTTCCTTCTTCTTCACTTTACAAAATAATTAATAATAGAGTAAATACTACTAACTAATTGAAGTATACTAAGAATATATATCCGATGCTAAATCTTGAATTAGACTCATCTATAAGCTTAAAACTTAGATTTATTAAATTATAGTTTAGATTCAACAACCTCAAAATCAACATATATAAAATCAACGCTCGCTTAACTAATAAAAACTCGAAATAGCATCCGCAGAACCCAACCCAATCTGCCCTTCCTGAGTAATCCCATATCTGACTCTTATATTGCCCAAGACGGAAGAGTCTTTATTAATACCTGAAGTTGCCTTCGAAATGGCAGAGATGTCCGAATTTTGAGTGAACGCAACCAAATCACTAACCTCAACTAGATACATGCCATGAATTCTGTCCATACGGTAAAACCACACAACCGTAACAGAAATCACCAAAATCAAAACCATGACAGCAAGAGGTGGGGCTAGCAATATGTAAGCTCGCCTCGGGTCAAGTTGTAAAACGGCCGTCCTCGATCTCAGGACAGTCTTTTCTTTCGTCCACTGTCGACTCATGGCAATTGCCAAAGCACCCGTGCTGACGTTGATGAATTTATTGAGTTGCGAAATTGTCCACTTTTGCGTGGCTCTGTCGTTGTTCGTTGTCATGAACATGATCGGTAATTTTTTTATCGGGGTAAGAGACAAACATAGGCTGTGCACCCAATACGCTAAATCCGTTGGTAACGGCAGCGAGACCTAATCAAGCTGGTACGCCTTCATTGCCCATCTTCTGAACATTGAAAGAAAGGTTTTCTAAGCGAGGTACCGTTGATAGAGGGCCGATGTCTGACATTCCTTCTCCAATGGTAAACGTGCTATCAACGAGAGTAGTGTTCACATTACATGCGACCGCAGAAATGCCGTTTAACTTGAAGGATCTCATCCCTGCTGAAGGTGCGAGTTTGGTTCCATTCTCAATCTCTCAACTGATAGCCGCAAAAATGATCCGAGTAACGGCACTCCATTTTTTGTTGTAAAGGATGTTGTCTACCCATAGAGTAAGTCTAGGCTGTGCTCTGATGGTGACCGAATCATCACCGTCCTTGTTTCCACTCTTAAAGTTTGTTGGAATTCGTAAACGATATCTGCTAAAGACTTTCTTGTCAATTTCCTTAATTATGTTTATGGCAGTCCCAGTACAATCGATGTTCTGCTGGATTTCTATCGCTCTTGCTGACATGTTGCCGCGCTCTTGAAGTTTATCTCTGTCCATGAAGAAATTTCGGAGCTGTGGCAATAGTTCTTTCGCAAGCTCACTGCTCCAAGATGCGTACAGATTCATGGCGTTGGTGATGGGTTCAGGCAAAGTTCCTGGTGGGTTCTCCTGCTTGAACCTTAGCCCGATGCCACCACCAACATCATATTTGCTCAAAAATGTCCTGGTGACGTTCTGACGAGTATATACAAAGCCCACAATACCCGCATTGACTGGATTTATTTAGGACTCTGAGATGCTCATGGATGGCTAGAATCACTTACTTGGACAAGAACAGCAATGACCAGGACAAAGGGCAAAACCATTAAAGCTCTACCTCCGAAAGATTTAAAAATTGCTTGAAAGAGAGCAGGAAGGGATCCAAGAGAGGCTGCAAGATAAGTGTCTATCTTATTCAACGGATGAGAGCGTTCATGGTAAATCGGCCACAGGGCGGCGGAAGCAAATGCGTAGGCAGGATATGCAATTGCAGCCATTCCAATGCCATGCACTATTGTCACGACACCCTGAACCAAGGCATAATTTTTCACCAACTTTGGCACGGATTCCGCGCAATTAATTGTCCAGGTGGGACATCCGAAGGTCTGTCTTCCGAACCATAGGGTAAATATGAAAGCGGCAATAATGCATGTGATGCCGAAGACTAGGGATATAATGATGGTGTAGTTGGTTTTCAAAAGATGGAAAAGACCACGTGATCGAGGGGTTTCTGATATTGTTATGGAAGATTCGCTCCAGGAGACGTGTCTTCTTCCCATAAGGAGGTGCGATGAGTTTTCGCTGTCGTTTGACATGATTGTATACTTTTATATGAAGTTAAAGATGTTTTTCATATTTGCTGGTTGAGTATGAGTGATAAACTTCAAAATTGTGGGGATCTCCCTGCTGTCTTTATAGAAGACATTTGCATGTCTGAATCAGATGGGTGCTTTTGCACTACATAGGCTTGCACTGCATGCGCCAATGCGGAACAAACTTATCCAGTCTAACACAAGGTTTTTCCTTCTCACAGAACTATCGTATCATTAAGCGACTGGAAAACAGGGTGATTGGGTACTTGAGCGGGCATGATCCACAAATGAGGCTGGAGCGCGCAGCCTGGTGCCGCAATAAAGAACATGATGTCTCGCTTAAGGGAGATACAGTTTTGAAATTTGGACTTGTGGCTTCCAACGCGCAGTAAAACCACAGACAATAAATCGCATCAAAGGGTACTGTATATACCTTCCGAGACTCGGAACCATTCCGCAGTTGATAGATTATCATCTTGGATGTTGGGACTGTTTCGGCGGTTTGATTTAGTATTGCTCCTGAAATCAACATTTATTTCTTCGCCAATTTGGCCCTTTGGAGGTGGATGAGATTCTTTCTTTCTTTTTTGACTTAGTTCACCGTGGAAAGCCCGACATTTTACTAATCGTGTCCTAAAGAGAGTATAGATAGTTCGCCATCTGAACATCCCTCAGCCGCATGTCGGTAAAAAGAAAAAACAACAAGTCTGCTCATAGGTCTAGACTACGCCTAAGCTTCGCAGATCCATTTCTGCAGCTCACCACCCTTAGCTTAGGCAGACACAGCCGGGGTTTTTGGCTAGTACCAATTCTTGGCAGACACGGCAGACTATGTTGGTCAAGCTAAAGAAGAGAGGTCAACAAGCGAGGAGGCGGGCCAAGCCAAGGGTGAAATATGGGTTTACACCGCTGTCTGTGCTCAAGCAACAGCACAGCCCTAAATTAGTCTGTGAGACATCCAAATTGACCGAAATGTACAGTAATACGTGATATCTTGACGTGAAAAAGGCGTGTACAGCAGCGAACGACTATAACTATATCGGATGATGCACGTTCCTAATCCGCCTCCTTGGAACGTGCAAAGCCACAGAGAGCGGAACAAAAACTAGAACTGCGGATGGTTTACCTTATCTCTCGGGATTTTTATGTTCAACTCTGGATACATCGTAGGTTACATTTCAGAAACGGAATCTGCCCTGGCTGGAAGGCTGCCTTGTCGCGGATTGCTCGTCTTGCAAATGCAGCTAGTTGTAAGGGCTTCGAGTGTTTGTTTGGAGAAAACGGAACGCTATTTTCTGAACACATTGACAATCCCGTACCCTTTTGATACTTCAGTTAATTCCGCCATTTGAATGATAAGGCAGATTTCAAGCGTAGACAAGGGGTATCTTTCTCATTCATAACTACTTGCATCGCAGTCTACTGCAATCTGTAACGCAGAGTGGCATCCAGCAGGTGGAACCCGATTCCATGGAAATTCCAAATTCCATTCCATCGTGGAATATTCCAGAGGTCCTTTGGAATGGAATAGAATATTCCAGAGGATAAGGCTCTTGGATTTAGAATTCCAGAGGATGTATATATAGTTCCTTCGACCCGATAAGAGTGCTTAAATCACAGTGAAATAGGGACAAAATTCTAGTGGTGAATCTGTAAGTCACATGCTCCTAGCTACCTAGAGTAACACTCTAAATTTGGAGGTATAGGGAGGACGTACTTGGACATTATCGGTACTTCGCCTTACCCATTAAAGTAAGAATACCTGACGGATACACGGCATATAGGATGAGGATTCACTTGTATGGATACATATGAGTGTATATTTATATCGGCAGTGTATCATTTATATACAAGTTTTCTGTGGTACAGGGTGCGAGACACTCTACTCCAATTACTCCATCTACGTCATGCAAGCCGCTTATAACACAGCAAGAAAAGGAAAGGTATATATTTATATCATATCGTGTTGTCACGTATGTACTAAAAATATATACAGTACAACAGTACAAACACACTAGCAAGCTCCACACAACGAAATACTCAGGGAACAAGAAAAAAAGTATGTACAAAAATTCATATATCCAGCTCTGCTCTACCACAGTTCTTACGCGCACTATAAGGAAAATCAATCAGTAAATAGTAAATGGACGATGAAGATGGATAGGAGGGGGAATACTAACCGTCGACAGACTCTTCGAGACAACCTTACACACAAACGGATCTCTACAGACCTGACTCCCACCATAATCCGCGCCACCGCATTTCGCGCCCTAATGAGTTATCAGAATCTCTCTCCCTCACAGACAATGCAGAGATACTAGTAAAGACGTACCTTCGGAAGCGCAGTATTAAGCGGTAGTCTCTGAATCAATTCCGCTGCGTGTTCAGCCGCGACGACAATCAAGCCACTGGGGTTGGTAGACGGCATCCCAGGCCAGATACTGGCATCGACGACGAAGATGTTGTCGGTGCCGTAGACCTTGGTGTTGGTGTCGACGACGGAAGTTCCGCCTTTCAGACCGCTGTCCGTACCGAGTTTGGCGGTGCCCATCCAGTGGTTGGAACGCCGGGAGCCGACGTTGGCGTAGTCTAGTGGGAGCTATACATTTATTAGCACGGATTCGGAGGGAGGTGGGTTTGAGTTGTCTTACAGTCTTGAGATATTCCGCTCCGGTTAGGTTGGCTGTAGGATGTACCCAGGTGATGTTCGGAATGGTATTCAGTGTCTTGACCATACTATCGATCGCAGCAGCCGCGGCAGCGAGATCATTCGGATCACCATACGGAATGGTAGACACCAGCATATTCAAACCTTTGTTGATAGAGGTTCTGCCACGGGAAACAGAGCCACGACCAAGGTAAAGACTGAGTGTCATGGTATTTCCATTCGGCTCGCCCATCGACCCCTCAACTCTGGAAGTCCACTGGAATTGTCTGACGATACCATCGGGGCCCTTAATTTCTTCCCACATCATCGGTCCAATGTTTGGTGCAGCTTGGGTGAGAGGACCGATTCGTTTGGTGAGGTAGTTGACTTTGTCTTGTTCAATTGGCGTGTTCCAGGCTTCAACCCAGTCATAATAAGAAACGTTTGGATGGGAGATGACGGTATCCGTATTCAGGTGATCATTGAGACCTTGTCCAACCGGAAGATTAATCCAGCTTGCAGAGTTGATCATGACTTTAGAGTCTGAGCTGCTAGCAACAACATCAAGCATATCCTTGGGGCCAATTCCGCTTCGGAATAGGAGTTTTGGGGTTCCAAATGCACCGGCTGCAAGAATCACACGACCAGTGACCGGTGTCAATTTGACAGTGCCTACACGGCCTCCATTAATTGTAGGGGAGACGTCAAGGTTGACAGCATGTCCACCAACCCGGTTGATGCGTTCGACACTTGTGTTAAGCCACAATTGGAAATTCTTCCGCTTGGAGGCGGTGACTAGGTATGTCGCCATCGGTCCGCCTCTCTCTCCATTGGCAGACATGTACGGGGTATGCGCATAGGTTCTGTTCTTTTCGCCTGGGACATTGTTTGCTGTGACACTCTTCCACTTGGCCTTCTCGAGGCCCGTTCTGAGGGTATCAAAACCTGATTGAACATAGAGCTTCCCGTCAAGGGAAGGGTGGTCTGTTCCCGGTATTCTAGAAAACACTCGATCTGTTGCACCTTGCATATCTCTGGCTTTCCATCCTGCGGGAAAATTGTAATCCCAATCGGATGGGTTTGCCTGTTGAATGTTAGGACTTAAACAGCAGGGCCTCGGAGATACAATGTACCTTCCACCATAGTCCAGCATTGACCGCAGCCCCTCCACCGAGAACACAACCTGCCATTTGATCCGTGTCGGTGCAAGCAACGCCAGCCGATCCACCATTCCAGATTCTGTTACATTCTCCTGGTATATCGAACCAAGTCAAGTTATGCCCGTCTAACCACCCGCTTTCAGGTCGATAGGCTATACTCATGTCAGCGTGATTAGGTGCTTTGTAGGTTTTACTTACTTCCACCCCATCTAGCAGAAGATGCAACTCCCTTTTCAATGAGCAGAACCGATTTCCCAGATTCGGAAAGCTTGTCAGCAATTGGTATGCCAGCAGCTCCGCCTCCTATCACAACGTAATCATAGCTAGTTTGTGTTGGGACTGGGACTCCTGAGACCGGAAGAGTGGTTGTAGTTGGAGGGGTCGTTGTAGAAGATGGAGGAGCTGCGGTAGCCGTCATACTCTCCCATTTACTATAGGACTCTTGAGTGGCAGAACTAACAATGATCCGGTATGAGCCTTGTCCATTATCGTGCTGGGAGAAATCCGAGTTTGGATCTGGCGGGTTCACTGGACTAGTTACTGACTGAGCCCAACCTGCACCGAATTGACCTGCAGAGGTTGAGGCGTTGAATTCGCTTTGTGAGGGATCATCGAAGATCAGACACCTTGAACACTTGTATACCATCGTCCAATGTGTGTCATTGACATTTGTGTATATTTTCGTCAATTTGGCACTTCCTTGGTAAATGACTGGCAACTGGTAAGAGCTATTGGTGCAGTTAGTCTTTGCACAGAAGCAACTGAAACGAGCGTGCTTACGGTGAGTAGCGGAAAGATGTTGCAATCTCGTTTCCATTTCCTGTAGGCCATGCCAAAATCATGAGATGGTTAGGCATTCCTGCACCTTGATCTCCATGTAGTACACCAGTCCATCCCTTTTTGTTGGGGGTAGAGCCGATCTGAAGAGGTTAGTATCAGGTATCCAACCGAATCGAATTTGGTATTACATACAACTAGCCCAATATAATCATAATAATCCGTGGTTGCCGCACTTGGTGGTAAAGCCATGCCAAATGTGAAACCTCCAACAGATGTCATTGAAAACTCCCCACCTCCAGTAATTGGTCCATCCTGCTGGTAGCTGGTATAGAAAGTGATTCGAGTATTTGGTTCGGTGTACATTCCATGTGTGGCAAAATCCTGTGCAAGAGCAGTAGATGCCACTATTGACAATTAGTAAATACAGCACAGCCAGAAGTGCATCTCCAGGCTTACCATATAGAACCGAGCCGAAAACCCTACCAGCAAAGCTCGACAACTTCATGATTGCAATGAAAGGAACGACGCAAGTGACATAGAACAGAGCATCGGGGCGTGGGGAAATTTGGATGATATATAAGGGCAGATTTATTTTTTTACATTTTTTGCAACACTAGGCCGAACACGACCTTGCCACCATTACCATCATCTTTATTGGATGGAGAATATTCCATGGAGGGGAAAATTTGATGTATGCGGGGGACATAGTCCTTGCTGCATATCGTCCGTCGCTTATGGAAGCCTGGGGTTGAAGAAGAACCATAGCCTGGAAATTATCCGTTTGGTGTATATAGAAATTGTAAAGGCGTTTCCGGGTGAGCAGCCGGAATAGCGTGATCTGTGAGAAATTCAGCAGCCAATAAGTAATCTATCTGGAATTCAGGCTCATCGGCGCTGGGCCTCCGAATTCGCGAAATCGTTCACCCGGCCGCGAATCCCGGGTCGCTTGGCGCTTTTTGACAGTACCGCATCTGGTTTCACGAGATGAGAAACCCATGAGTAAACATAAGCGAGAAGCTTGAATTGTACTCACGGGAGGAAAAGAGAGACGGAAACTTCAGCTGACGGTATGTTAGGGTGTGACTTTGAACAAGATACCTAGGTAGTCTAGCCTTGCCCAAATGGAGAGTAATCTCCTTGACTGTCTCTCAATGTATTGGGTAGATGCAAAGGGGGTAGGACGGTACCTTGCCATGTGCCTAGCCATGGGTTTTACGTGCACTTGCATGTCAGAGCATGGCGGGTGCTACTTGAGCAAGTAAGACTGAGTAAGTGCATCGTCCCTTGTGTTGACTCGAATTGAACGTAAGGGAGATTTGAAATGGAGAGGTGAAAGAAACTCAAGGCAGATAGCAAGAAGGAACGAATAGCATAGTACTAGTCAGGAAATTGAAGAGGAGTCTTGCGGCGTGTGTTTGTATACTATGGTATAAATAGATGAGAATTGTAATTGAAACAATTTGTGTATTGTTGTACATTGAGGGGAAGAATGGAAGTGGAGGTCGGTATGCTGCATGTGATATGCGGGGATCAATAGGAGGTAGCCTGAGGGCTCCACTGCAATGGAACCTTACAGGAAAAGGCTGGTCCTAGTGTAGTCTCTATAGGTGCTTAACAGATAGCTAATTAAATTTAATCCTTATATGGTAGTTAAACCCTTTTTAGCGCTTAGGTGATAGCTAAGCTTTTTAACTATTAAAAGGCCGTAAGCTCTTAAGTAAGCTTAGCCCTTAGATAGTAATTAGCTACTAACCCTCTTAGCTCTTAGTAACCCCTCAATAATCAAGGGCGTTTTACCCTTAGAGGAGACTATATAGTAGTCGGGGAAACTTTGTAATACTACGCTACTACTCGTAGGGGTGCTTTTTATACTTAGTATCGCACGTAGATAATATACACTAATACTACGAAATTATAAGTTATAGATTCAAACGATTTAGCGAAATTTAATACGCGCGCTTACAGGGGCGCTGTCCTACTAGCGTGGTATTACGTACAGAGTATACGTAGCGGACTAAGTTATTCGACCCCTATGTATAGGTGCCTCGGCTATATCTTAGCCGCGCCGGAGATCACAGGGTTTTTAAGCCTTAAATTCTAGCCTAAGGCTTAAGAAAAAAATTTAACTCTTAAGCGGGGCTTGACTCTCAAGAGTTATTAGCGCTTAAGTACCTACATAATTATCTCTCTAGTATTTGTACTACCCCTATTATTAAACCATTTTAACCCTTATCTGACCATCTTGTCACTAATCACGTGTTAGCACGTGGTTAGCGAAGACCAGGCGGCGTCCTGACAGGTCAAGCACTACCAGAATACTTATAGCAGATAGGGATGCTTAGGTTAGCTAAGCGATCCAGGGATTTCATAGCAATTATATCACGTGACCAGTAATGGTCGTTTGGTCGCGGCGACCAGCAGCGATCATGAGGATGAAGGTTCTATATAAGACTGGCCCGTCTGCCATTAGATAGGAGCTTCGTGCTCAACTTAGTTATCAACTTAGTTCTCAATCTTATCATATTAGTTTGACATCTTTGATACAAGTAACGAGTTCACTTCCAAGTGAACAACCCGATAGTCTTCTTCTTATCATAGCATACCAACCAGCGAACACCCAGCCAAGTTTAGTTAGCCAGTTTGAGTATTCGTTACACATCTGTAGAGACTGCACCTGGCCCACCAATTTCCTTTATGGAATTGAAAATTCCATAAAGGATCATGTGACCAAGAAAGAGCCCAGCCCCCTGCACATTTCTCGTCACTGGTCACAGCACCTCCTTAACGCCGAAGCCGGCAAAAAACGGAGCGGAACGGATGATCGGAAGCAGGAGTTGGCTCGCGTGGAGAGAAGCTTCAGTGAATCAAAGCTTAAAAAAAGGCACCTGCAGTGAATGGCTCTGTTAGATCCTTTTGCAGTCAATACAGTTACTCGAAGATTCCAGAACAAAGTCAATTAATCATTCTAAATGTACCTTACAGACTTATGTCACTCGATGCCCGATAGTTTTATTAAATCAAAACTCCATTGATGCCAGAAAAGTAACTATCTAATATCCTACCTAGGTAATAGGTAGGTAGGCGTAAATTACCTGGGTGCTCGGTACCTACTTTCCTCCACCGGCAACTCGGCTCTTGATCACGAGACTCGAGTTGTCAGCAGATTCCAGGTTTGAATGCGACGAACGCTGATTGGCTCGATCGTTGGTCGCAAATCCCAGTGCATTTCGACCTCGGAACGGCATCAATTCGCCTCAAATCTCCAAACACTTGGAACGACGTATTCTCTTCTTCTTTCCTTCTCTCAACTCTCCCCTCTTCTCTGGTGTGCATTTGTCTGCCAACATGTCTTCAATCGCCATGCGAAGGTTGGCGAATGGTCCTTCGGTACGTCTTCCCCGCTCGGATGAAAACTCATATGGCAATAGCTGCTAATTTGTCATAATCCAGTTTTCAAAGGCATTGAAGAACCAATCGAGATATTTTTCTGCAACCCGACCGGCTGGTATGCCGTATGATGAATTCCTCAAAGGCATCAGCGAACTGACGGCAATATAGCACGCATAATTACACACGCCCCTCTGAGGGCAAAAGAGGCATCTCCCTTCCTAAGCAACAAGTATCCCGTTATTGTACGTCACCGTCCGCCCCACTCCCTCTGCTCAGTTCTTAACCATATTGCAGGAACACGAATATGATGCGATCGTCGTCGGTGCTGGAGGAGCAGGTCTGCGAGCAGCATTCGGTCTCGCGGAAGCCGGATTCAACACTGCGTGTATATCAAAACTTTTCCCAACACGAAGTCATACCGTTGCTGCACAGGGTGGAATCAATGCGGCTCTAGGAAATATGCATGAGGATGACTGGAGATGGCACATGTACGACACTGTGAAGGGTTCAGATTGGCTCGGAGACCAAGATGCTATTCATTATATGACCAGAGAGGCACCTCAGTCTGTTATCGAATTAGAAAACTATGGATGTCCTTTTTCGAGAACGGAAGATGGCAAGATGTAAGTACCCATCCGATATATATTCAGACTTCTGCTAACTGGGCAAGCTACCAACGTGCATTCGGAGGTCAATCACAAAAATACGGAAAGGGTGGACAGGCATACAGATGTTGTGCGGCAGCAGATCGAACCGGACATGCTCTTCTTCACACTCTATACGGCCAATCTCTAAGACACAACACGAATTACTTCATCGAGTACTTTGCTCTTGATTTGATTATGGAGGATGGAGAATGCAAGGGTGTTCTTGCCTACAACCAAGAAGATGGTACTCTTCACCGATTTCGAGCACACAACACTGTTTTGGCAACCGGTGGTTACGGACGAGCATACTTCAGCTGTACATCCGCGCATACCTGTACTGGTGATGGAATGGCTATGGTTGCACGTGCCGGCCTTCCTAACCAGGATCTGGAGTTCGTTCAATTCCACCCCACTGGCATTTATGGAGCTGGATGCCTGATCACCGAAGGATCTCGTGGAGAAGGTGGATATCTCCTCAATTCTGAGGGTGAGCGATTTATGGAGCGTTATGCCCCAACCGCCAAGGACTTGGCCAGTCGTGACGTCGTTTCTCGATCGATGACTATGGAAATCCGTGAAGGTCGTGGTGTTGGCCCTGATAAGGATCATCTATACCTTCAACTCAGTCATTTACCACCAGAGGTCCTCGCCGAACGTCTGCCTGGTATTTCAGAGACTGCTTCCATTTTCTCGGGTGTCGACGTTCGAACACAACCAATTCCAGTACTTCCAACCGTTCATTATAATATGGGTGGTATTCCTACAAAATACACTGGAGAAGTCATCACCCTTGATAGCCAAGGCCAAGACAAAGTTGTACCGGGTCTTTTCGCTTGCGGAGAGGCTGCATGCGTATCAGTGCACGGTGCCAACCGGCTCGGCGCCAACTCTCTCCTGGATTTGATTGTCTTTGGTCGTGCTGTTTCTCACACTGTTCGCGATAAGTTCGAGCCAGGCATGCCTCACAAGGATATTAGCGCTGATGCTGGTGCCGAATCCATCCAAGTCCTCGACCAAATCCGAACGGCTGATGGACCAAAGAGTACACATGAAATCCGTCTTGCCATGCAGAAGGTCATGCAGACTGATGTCAGTGTCTTCCGTACGCAAGAGAGTTTGGATGAGGGTGTTCAAAAGATCAATGCTGTTGACCAGACCTTCAAGGATGTTGGAACTAAGGATCGAAGTATGATCTGGAATTCTGACTTGGTTGAGACGTTGGAATTGAGAAATCTGTTAACCTGCGCGTAAGTTTCATCTCCATATCCTCCACTCTGCCCATATATTTACTTTGTTCTAGTGTCCAAACCGCCGAATCAGCCGCAGCAAGAAAGGAATCTCGTGGTGCACACGCCCGTGAGGATTACCCAGACAGAAATGACGATGAGTGGATGAAGCACACCTTGTCATACCAGAAGAAACCTCACGGCAAGACTGAGCTCTCATACAGAGCCGTAGTTGCCAATACCCTGGATGAGAACGAGTGCAAGGCTATCCCACCTTTCAAGCGTGTGTATTAGAAAATGCGTTATCAAGTACCAATAAATCGTAGAGATGTGCTCTCTTTTTGTGATTGGGGGTTTTTTTGCCTTGAAGCAAGGATGATAAGACGGACTACCTTGAGGTAGCAGTAGCGTGCATGCATTTTTCTTGGGAGGGGGGGAAATTTTATAGGTGTTTTATTTTATTTTTGCTAGTGATTTTTTTTTTCCTTCTCTCTTTTTTCTTTTTTTCTTTCTTTTCTTTGTATTCGTAGTAGGGTTTCGTAGTAGGGTGGCTCGCAATAGGGTGGCTCGGTTGATGGGTTGGTGGGTTTGATGATGATGTTGATGTAAGTAAGGTATGAATAGAGTTATGAAAATGTTTTAGTGTATAGTGTGTAGACTGCTTTCATGGGGGTGAGGAGGCGAGTTGAGGTGTGGTGAGATGAGGTGAGTGGGTGGGAGTGTGAGTGGGTGATGTGAGATTGATCTTTTGGGTGTATGTAAGTCTACATACAATATACCACGGCTGACTACTAACTACCAACTCTCGTACAGCATCTTCCTGGGTATATATATAACCAGGGTCTGTTCGGGTCTGGTCTTGTCTGGTCTGGTCTGGTTTTCTTTAGTCTTTGTCACTCTTCCCCCCATCGTCTGGGAATTAATAAATGTCATATCTGTCTCTGAGGTTTGATTGTTTGTTTTGCTAGTCAGTTTCTAGGGGGGAAAATGAGATAAGATGAGATGAGATGGGGAGAAGGGGGGAAGGTGGGAAGGTGGGAAGGTGGGAATGTTGGAAGAGAGCGGGTAACATGTAGGCTTGGGGGACGAGAAACGCTACGGTAGGTTGTAGTGAGGGTACTATAGGGGTTGTAGTACGAGTACTACGCCAGAATAGAAAATTTGAAGGGGAGAGGTCACAGAGGTGGAGGTGTGGTTGTATAGAGGTAAAGGTTGGGATTCTCAATAGAGGGGAAAGTAGGAGTTGTAGATGTGGTTTTGACTCTTACGTGACATATACACCTAAGGTTACTTTGCTTAGGGTAGTTATTATGTACCTCCTCCGTGCTACTATGTATTTCCTGCAGAGAAAGTGTTTGATAGAGGTATAGTACTCTTGGGTGGGGTTGGTGGCTGGCTGGTTTGGTGGAATTTTGTATGAGTTGAACTTTACTTGATAATTCTTTTCTTCTGTGCGGTTGATGAGGGGTTGAGGGTGTTGAGGGGTTTGGGATTGTGTGTGTGGGACTTTTGTGGTGCTCTGTATGTATTGTAAGTGGTACTGGATAAGGTGCGTGTGGGCTTGGGGGGATTGTTGGGATTCGGATGGGAGAGAGGGAAGGGAAAGGCGGGGGGAGGGGGGTGGTTGGATTAATAATGTGATTACTATAGACGGGGCACTCATGGGGGTTCAGATTATAAATTTGAATTTTAAGCCCTATTTTATTACGCAGTTTTAAAGAGTATAGGTAGGAATAGAAGTATAACTTAAGTAGAATATTAGCTTCCTATACCACATTCGTATACTTCGTAGCTCATATTACGTACTGTACCTCCCTTAATAAGGGTAAGGTCAGCATTTATCTCCTATCCTATTCTTCTCATACCTACATCTTGGAATCCTTCTAAGATAACGACTTCTTCAAGTGTACTCGATATGGTCGAAGCAAGCTCTTTCGACGAGGGCTTTCTTTTCCTTCATCGGGAGGTGATGGATGTACTTGGGGGATTGACGAAGAGTCTTGTCACGATGATGATAATAATTTCCTGATTACTTCTGTCTCGATAGTACCAAAAGGTTACCAGGGTGGTTTTATGTTATCAGGAACTCTGGGCGGAAAACCCGTCAGTTAGATTACCAAGTGCTAAATCGGCCTAACAATTTATGTCTAGGCCATACGACTACACTATTCACTATTTTCAACCTTTATTAATGTTAAGAATACAAATAACGGCCCGCTGGGATTGTTGGAAATTGGGATCGTCTTTGTGCGGCTAGGGGGGTAGAGTCTTGGGACAAATTCCTTTGTAACTCTTACAGACACCTCAAGCTTGAAGTATGCCATCTTTTCTCCATAGCTGAACGAACTGTTGGAGGGTACTTGAGTGAATCTCAAAGAGCTAGTTTGTCAAAAGACATCGTGTCGAAGATAGAATCGCAATTTCTTTGTAGATGTAGACACAATTGATCTTTGAGAACAACAAAGCCCTTTATTGAGGATTCTTCATGGATGTATCCCGTGCAGTCCTCAAGAAGAACCTTACAACGCTCAATACAGAACAATTGCTTCAGAGTCTCAAGAAAGAGATTCCGACGGAAACAATGCTATTATTGGTCCTTAAATACTTGGTGAAGTTTCTGGAGATCCCTAGAAGCTACAAACCAAGTAACATTTCACAAACACTAAACACAACAAACCAAGCAACCTTTCACAAACAGAAAAATCAACACTTTGTAACAGTAACTACGTCACATAGTCACAAAACCAAGTTGAGCTAACTCTTACCATCAAGCACAGAAAACACGTATTTAACGCGGCAATAATGGTCGTTATGGAAGAAGATTGGAGATCTATTTCGTCTCACTCGAGTGAAGGAAAACCCTCAGGCCCCCCTGGAGCGAATAGATTGACATTTGGGGTCGAGCTTGGGCTCTTGATCGCTTGTCGACCCTCACCGGGAGCCCCGGACCCTGACTCAGATGACCCTCGTTCGATCGACGGGATTGTCGAAGCCCGCCAATACAGGGGCAACGATTGGGAGGATAGGCAGGGACAAGTTCAAAAGAACGTCGGCAAGTTTCTTAAAAGCGCTGGATTGATGAACGTAAACGACGGTCAAAAGAATCCTAAAATGCAAGATTGGATTGTGAAGGATGACATCAGTTTAAACGCGGACGCGGCAGGATATGACTTTATGCAAGTAGAGATTGTATCACCGCCATTCTATTCATCAAAAGAGGCTGTAAGTCAGGTAGGTGCAGTGTGCGATTTGCTTACATCCAAGTACCGGATTGTGTGTAACGAGACCACAGGGTTGCATTGCCATGTTGGGTACGGGAATCATGGATTTTCACCACGCGTACTTTCCAATATTTTCGCAACCAGCTGGACATTCTATCCTCTTTTAGACAGCCTTCATCCATCTCGTCGTCGAGGAGATCACCCCCAAAAAGAGAAATCATACTCTCCTAGTATTAAAAACTTTTCACATCTCGCAGTCGATGTACAAGATCTCCCAGATAGAAACATGGCCGGCCTTAAAACGATACTCGAGACTCGAGGTAACGTAGGTCCCCAAGAAATCTTGCATCTAATGCAGCCAGCAGTTGCCGGTTACGGTCGTCTAGCCTACAACATCAGCAACATAGCGGCGTGGTTCGACTTTACTTTGGCAGCAGCGTTTGGTAACCCGCGCATAAAGAAGACCATTGAATTCCGACAGCATGAAGGAACCCTTGCGAGCCGAAGGATCAAGAGTTGGATCAACGTGTGCCAGGGACTGGTCAGATTCGCTGAGAGGGTTGATGATGCTGCGCTTGATAAGTTTCTGCTGAGGCACATTAACGATAATCAGGACACCGACTACACGGCTATTGATCTACTGAAAGCAATTGCTCTACCCGACGAGGCAGCATTCTACAAACAGTGGTTCCAAGAACATCCTGGATGGCTTGATCCTCCATCTCCTGCCTCTGAGAGTGAGCCCTCCGGTGCGGATGATTATGTAGAGGCATTTCCTCTAACTCCTGAGGCTCTACGAGATTTAGGCTATAACGCCAAATCCGAGTCTGATTCTCCTGAGAAGCCCGTCTTTAAAATCATGAAGGATATTGATGAAACAGAATCAGGACCTTCAGGACCTTCAGGTCCTCCTCGACGCCAGGGCATCCGAGTACTGGACTGGGATACGGAATCTAATCCTGAGCCTTCAAAAAGTCCACCTAAATCTAAGCCTTTAGAAGATTCACATGTTCCAGTCCTCGTCCGAGGAGTGGACTGGGATACGGAATCCAACCCCGAGCCTTCAAAAAGTCCATCTAAATCTGAGCCTTCAGAAGGTTCACCTGTTCCAGTCCTCGTCCGAGGAGTGGACTGGGATACGGAATCCAACCCTGAACCCTCAGAAGGTGAGGAGGTGTCTAACCCTGATACCGAGTCCAACTCTGATACTTCAGGAGATCCACCTACTTCAAGACAGGTTGACGACGACGACTTATTAGACTTTGTAAATTGATACTGAATGTAACCCCAATGAATCCGAGTAGAAATCCAGGAACCAACTTCTAGCTTCTTACTTCGATAACGGAAAAACAAAGGAATACATTCAGGGTTCCTAATACTTAGCCACGAACGGCCTTCTTAACAGCAGATCTGTTTTAGGAGATAGTCATCAAATTGATATGATGATATTTTCAGGTATGGAAGTCGTTTCCGCAATAGCACTGTCTTGTCCTTGATCATTTTTAGCAAGAATTGCGATAGATTAACATTAATATAAACTTTTACGATCATAGAGTATTTGAACTGCTGATTTATAATATGTGATAAGAAACTGCAAAGTGAATAACAAATTAACAATTCCATATATGGCATAATTGGTATTAGTGCACAGAATCGGGGACCTTGCAGAACAAGGCTTTTACTCCCAAATCTCTCAACTCAAATTTTACTCGTCCCGTGTGACTCTTCCTTACCTGTCCAAACCGGCCTCTTCAAATTTGCCGCCTTCATTCTCCTTCTCACCTCCTCAAATTCCAAAGGCGATAGATCTGTAACAGCTCCAAGATCTGTAATTGCTGCGCAATCTGGCATCATATACTTCAATGCCTTCGATTCGACAGCCATTCCATCACCAGTAGCCATTGACTTACATGCATTTGCAAAGCAATGTTTAGATTGCGGAAAGCTCCCCAAAATAATCATGAACTCATGCATCATGCCTTCATATTCAGTCCACTGAACACTAACTCCACACTTCGCGCCTTGGCTGGCTACAACACGGTTCCTATCAACATCTCTTCTAGAGTCCCACAAGCAAACCACATAGGTGGTGACCCAGTGCAATCCCTCACCGCAGCAGATGTAACCCATTCATGATCTAGTATCGCTGCGTCATAATACGAATATTCACTCGAGAAAGAAGAGGGCAAGACATTATTTGCAGGAAACCTAGAAAAAAGTGCTTGTCGCGCCAAATGTCCAGGATATTCGTAGCCTTCAGACCTCGCAATGAGGGCATCGCATCAGACAATCGGCCCACGCAGGACAGACTCTTAACCCCGCTGGCAAAGGAAGGGGTATTTCTCGACCATGTAATCGAAGATTTTGCGCAAATTTTGAGCTTTTGGATCTCTCCTTGGCATTTTCAAGGAGAAATTCGGGGGAGAGGGGCGAAGCGAGAGGTTGCACTAGCACAGCCGGCGAGGACGATAGGAATGACAGAAAAGGGTGAATGGGAAGAGCCAGGAGACGGGCTTAGGAGACTGTGGCATAGATCACCAAAATATCTAGAATTTGACCTGGAAATCAAGGGGCCCCGCGCTTTGGTCATCCAGGCTAAGCGAGTAAATTTGGAGCGATATTCAACGGGACTACTGGAACTTCAGATGGAACCTTGCTTAGACAGAACATCAAGAGAAGGTAGAATGCAACCAATATACTTACTGTAAGCCTCCTCCATGGATATAGAGAAATCATAAAATCGCTCTCGCACTCCTTCCCAAAGCCCCTAGATTTTCAAGCTCTGATAAATCAAATTCTGACCCATCGGCAGTTACGCCTGCATAATTTCCCAGAAAGTCGTCATGTACTTGACGCAATGAGATCCCAACCCCTGCAGTAAGTCTCTGGTGAGTTTTCATTGAACTGGTCGTGAACGCGATACAGACATTCACGTAGATCGATCTCTGGAGGCGCAAGGGTGGTCAGTCATTCAGCTGATCCAAATGGGCACTTTGGCTGGCACATCGCGCAATATTGCGTGATACTGGGAGATACGGTCCATGAGAGGGCACTTTTCTAGCGTCGATCGCGTCGCACTCAGCGCCGTGGATGGCATTTTGCCGTCGCATGTAGTCAACAACACAAAAAGAATTGCTAGCAATGACCCACACGCTCTTCTGCTCTTCTGCTCTTCTGCTCTCCCCTTTAACACAAAGTATCACAGATTAAAAGAATCCAAAAAATAAACTGGCAAAACTTGAGACCACGGCGTAAATGCCGTGGCTCAAGAAACCCCCTCACCCCCTAACGGGCGTTTATTGGGGATTTTTTCAGAACTGAGGACTGCCAATATTATCTCACATATGAGAACATAATGTCTCCTATATCAACACCGTTGATGGATAGGGCCGTCTTTTATTTTTTTATTATTACTATTATTAAGAAGAGGACTTCATTTTTAAGTGGAGCTGCAAGTATTAGCTAGTGAATCAGAGAGAAAGGAGACTTACCAGGAGCTTTGGAACCTCGGGCCGACCATTTAGGACTTTTTTTTTTTGGGAAAGTAGATTTGCGAGTATGCGGGTGTGCGCGTTAACCGTTAGGTTACTTGGTGTGTTGGTCTGTCGTGTGCCTTTTTGGCGGGGGTCAGCTGTGTCATCCCAGGATAAATAGGTCAGGAGTGGCTTTTGGGGGTATGCTTTGTGTGCCGAGATTAGAGCGAGCCAATTAGATGGGAGTATGGCGATGGAGTGAGGATTGGGAAGTGAGAAGTGAGGGGGTTCAAGTTCTCGCTTAGTGAGGTCAGTCAGGTAGCGACGTCGTATCCTACTCTCTTATTATTTAGAATTTAGTGTGCTAGGCGTAGATCTGATCCTTTTGCACGCAGTGTTCGTGACCTTTTTTTGTTATAAAATTGTTGGCAGTATTTAGAGAGCGGAGCTACGAAAGAAAAGATTGCTCTTATGAAAGTGTCTAGAAGATGGACGAGCATGTTGGAGGTATGTTGGAGATTTCATTGTGGAGATGCTGACCACGTAGATGATTGGAGAAATGCCCCTAGCGTTGTTGGACATTTCGATAGATCTTTCTTTCGCAGTATTTCAGCCTCTTTTCAATTGCCAGTATCTTTCTTCAAAGCATTATTTAGCCATCTTGAACCTCTCTTTTATTATTGTCAGAAGTTAGCGCCATCTCAAAGTCGTAATGGCATCCCAAAAATATTTCGATCTGTGTCCCAGATTTCCAAATGACATCCCGGTAGCTAGGATAGCACAATTATCTCTCTCAAAGCTCACATCAGGAGACGAAGAGGAAAAGAGTACGTTTATTCAAGGCTTGTACGGAACTCGGATTCTTCTTGCTTAGCCTCAATGGCGATGATGGAGGAGAAAAACTGTTGACCGACCTTGAGAACATGTTCCGCATCGAAGAAGAACTCTTTGATTTGCCCGACGAAGAAGAACTCTTTGATTTGCCCGACGAAGAAAAGACATTGAACAATCTCATTCCTCCTCACAAACTTCTCGGGTAGGCTTTTTATCATTTCCTGATATGCATTCCCCTAATTTGCTGCGTGAGACTTTTGCTAATTACGATACCTCAGATACAATGCTGTTGGTGTTATGAAAACAGAAACAGGCCAGCCTGACAAGTGCGAGTTTTTCCATGTCAGTCGAGATGAAATGCTCGGAATTGAGCCAGCTGGCGAGAATCCACAAGTCATCCGGGAGAATCAAGACAAGATCGTTTCCTATCTCGATCACATTAATCCTATTGTGCAAATACTGCTTACATCCCTGGATAAACAGCTCCATCTGACCTCAGGCACATTATCATCCCTACAGAGTGTGCAACAACCTTCTGGGATAATTATTCGCATGATTCGGTATCCCTCCCAAACCAACTATGACCGCCGTTCAGCACTCCTACCACATACAGATTACGGAACCCTGACAATTCTCGCTAGAGTCTTACGAGGTCTTCAGATTCTCCCACATGGAGCGTCGGAATGGCAATACGTTGAACCAAAACCAGGCTGTGTTGTTGTGAATGTTGGTGATGCATTGTTTGAGTGGACGGGTGGTGTACTTCGCTCTAACTTGCACCGTGCAACGGTTCCCCCTGGAATGTAAGCTGATTACGCACGCCACAGCATTGCATACTTGATGGACCAGGCTGCGAAGTATCAATGCGACGGTTGGTGAGCGGTCGTATTCCGCCGGCCACAGCAGGCGAAGATATGGACATGACGGCCAGTGAATAGGAGATGAAGAAGACTATGGCATTGAAAGCAGGCGCAGATATCGCAAGAAGCCATCGAGGCACAGTCGAATAGTTTTCTCTTTTGTTTTATATTTGCCAATTCATAATCATGTACCTGATTTCACGAATCGAATTATATAGGTATGTTTACATAACATGGTTATACAAACGTTGCTAAGCCTATCTTACAATTGTTTCAGCGAATCTGTTTACTCGTTCCAAGCACTATAAGTGAATACATATGTGCTTAAATTGTATTTCCCTTAGGTAATTATATTCTTAAAAGAATAATTGGAGAATATATTTTTAATGTGTGACAATGTTCATATTCATATAGGGATTAATAAGGTGACTTCACGATACTCTTGAAAAGTAATACAAATAGAAAATATAAAGTTTTATATAGTAATATAACTGAATTAAATGCTTATACTTAAGGGAAACGTTTGGAAATAAAGCGGGATATACTTGTATACTTATCCTAAACCATTTACTATTTATAACCTAAACGAACGTACAATAGTATTAAACTTATTTTAGAGGAAAAAGAGTAAGAAAAATAAACAGAGCCTCTAATACCTTAACGTAGTAATTATAACTACCTACTAGAGCCCACTAACTATAAACGCTTAATAATCGATAGTTAAGAGAACTTATATTTCCTTCATGTATATTACGAGCGGTACCTAGGTAGGATACGGCCAAAGCACTAACGTACTTCATAAGGAGTCCGGATTTATAAGCAGTCCGGATTTTTTACCCCACCATCCAACTTTTAAAAACCATAGAACTTTAACCACTTAATATTTAGTTATATAAACTATACTATCTTTCTTATTCTCGATCTGGGCACCTAGGAGCAGTATGCGCTAGTGATCTACATATACTACAGGTTCGTGGTGCACGAATTCGTGGTTCAATTAGCGCGGCCACAGCTTCATCCAAAACCATATTATCACTATTTTGAATAAGTTCCCTCCCTTCCTGACCTGTAAGAACACCCCCAGTAGCAATATATTGACGTCGCACAGT